CGATATCCGTCGCGGATTCGTCATCAGAGACATTAGTAGCAGAAACAGGTTACCTGGTTTTGCTAATTATTTGATTGTCAACAGCATATGGAGTTGTGTGAGACTACTCTAGGAGGTTGTAGCGCACACCAAGGTAGGCCAGATAAATGTAAAGACATTTTCTTTGAGAAGTCAGATAACGCGCTCCGGCATATGGGTATAGCACTTGAAAAATATTCAAAGCAACACAGAGCAATCTAAAACCATTGATGCAATGCGTTAAGGCGGCAAGCAACGCCGTGTGACTACTGAACGCTATTAGAAGTTTGGTTCAGAAGAAGACGACTTGATTGCTCGGACAATACTTTTATTCGCCTGACGTTTCGAGATCCGTCGCGGATTCGTCATCAGAGGCATAGTCAGAGAGAAGTAGCAGATAGGGTAGCGTATGCACAGAAATTTGCAATATTTATAGGATACAGTAATTACTGCAAACATACAACGACAATTAACAGCATGCGGGCTCTGACCTGCTGAACTTTCATCGCGCGTGGTGGACTCGGGCGTGATGATTGCTCGGTCATCTAGCCCTTCGGTTTTGGCGTAGGATGATGCCGTGGCCTGTCCATTCTCCAAGTAGCGACTTTTTTTGACCAAATTAAGTCTTAGCTGCAAATATGGATTGGGCAAATCGTTGCACTTGTTCATGGATTGGGGGCCCGTGAACCATGACTCAAGTAATTCTCGGCTCACCCAATTGTCCCCTCTTGTGAGAATTTCGGCCTCATCCAATTTGAATATGTGGTTGGGTCTCGTCAAATGAGCCGCAACTCGAGAATTGGCATTATTTCGCCACACTGCTGCCGCGTGTTCGGCAATTCGCTTCTTGAGAAGTCTGCCAATTTCTCCGGCACAGTTGCTTTACTCGCAACTGCACCAGATTGTGTAAACAACGGAAGATGTTTCTCGCCGTGGTAGTGGGTCTTTCGGTTTCATTATCTGAAGCGTCTTATGGTTGACTCCGGCCTATGTGTGACTCCAACTCCAAGTGGTGCGAGAAGGCAGCTGACAGCCTCCGAGTCCGTTTTGACGTACGGGATCGCTCGCCAAATGTTGGGGTCAGTACGACTTTGTTGGCCATCTCGTTTGCGTAAGCACCGGTTGACGTGGTTCAGTCATCCCTTACGCCTTATCTTCATGGACACCCAATGGAGTTGCGCATGAAAATGTCCAAGATTTATCTCGCTCTGAGTTTCTGACGCAACTGGCAATAGAATACTGGAATAATATTCCGAAACTAATCGTGTAGGTCACGTCACTACATCTCAACAGTCTGCACTCGAACTAATCCCACATAAACTTCAGACATCAGTTATGTGTAGAGACAATGCTACTCACAGTTTGTGAATACCCATTTATAATTGGCATTTAAAGAGGTGCAAACATATATATATGACTCACCGGCATTTAAACAATAAGTTTTTTAAAGGCATTGGCTATTACCCTCGACTAATAAACTGAACCTGAAAATGGTACTGACAAGACGTTCGTGAGAGAATTGTCAACCTACGTCTTACATGCCAATAGAGGTGAATATGCTAGTTCCAGGAAGCACTTCGGAAGAAGGAGATGCGACCACTGGAACAAGAGTTTTATTGTCTTGACGTTTCGGATTCCGTCGGGAATCCTTAACCGTAGGTAATGGTAAAACATTCTGAGTCATGCGTATATTGGGGTGAAACATGCACAGATCGCATGGTATTTATAGTTCGTAGCGGTCCTCCGCGTGCGTACTGTAATTATCCACTTCTGTAGCCACCGCTTGGGTCTTAATTGGTGCAGTGATGGCTTGCCACTTCGTGTCCGACTCATTAATTGCCGCGATTACCTTGTCCGTGTCGGATGCGGGCTTGATAATTGCGCAATAATTATGCTCACTGTCGTCAGAGTTGTTGTTGGGCCCGGCCCTTCCCACGTGACCGATTATTTTGCTCAGGCAACGTATCAGTACACAGTAGGAAAACGCCAAATCTTTGCGCTTGTTGATGGCCTGGGGGCCTGAAAACCATGACTCGGGCAGCTCGCGACTCATGTGGTCGTCTCATCTTGCGAGGATTTCGGCCTCGTCAAACTTGAAAAAATGGCCGAAACTTCAGGACAATAAAACTCTTGTTCCAGTAGTCGCATATCCTTCTTCTATGTCTTACTTGCCAACATCGGCCGACGCAGCCCAACTGGAGGTGGACAGCAAGTAGTGTATATCGAGTCGACTAATCATGGAGCGCTGCTCTTTATGAAGGCCTTCTAGCTGAACCATGGGCTCAGGTCATATCAGCTCAGACGGACAGCCTTCAAAGCAAAACCCACTTCTACTCTGCAGTGTGAAAAGGTTGACGAATCTACACAGTCACAAATGCAGCATATGAGGTACAAGGTGAACAAAAGCGTTGGCTCAGGAGTTTTGTAAGCTAGGAGTACTGAACACTTTGAACATAAGAGACACTTTGAGGAAGGGCAGTCTCTCTTTCGACTTTTAATGGATTATACGTAGCCATATGGAGCAAGAGATTTACCCATTTCAGAGAGAGCTATCTAGTCGGACATATATATTTCCAAAAAAATTTTCTTAGATGTTTTACGGTTGAGTTGGTAAAGGATGATTCTAGAGTTATCC